TATTTTTATTATGAGGAGGAGTTTTCTGTTCTTTTTTTGAGTATTTTACTAAAGTCAAAAGATTAAACTAAAAGCCTACAAGAAGTTAAAAAGATAAAAAGATAAAACTTAGGTTAAGTTTTTTTTATATTTATTATGTCAAGTTTTTTAATTACATAGTATCATGTGTCTTTTTTTGTTTCATGCAAATTTAAAATCAAATGCTATTAAATACTAATATTTCAGAATACACAGTCATATTTGATGGGAGAACATGACATCATAAATTTAAAAACTTGACGTAAGTATACACTTTTGTTGTGTTAAACTTATAAGAAAACATAATATCTTCTTATTTACCTTTAATTAATAGTTGAATATTCCTCCTCATTAATCCGTTATTTCTCCCTCATGCTTTGATTAGTGAGGCGCATTTCAAGAAAAGCATTTAATGACTTAAATACTAATGGCTTGTAGGTTCGACCGGTGAAATAGAGTATTCCAAATTGCTTTACACAAATGGGAGCCTTGGAAAGAATATAACTGATTTTAACTTCTGACATTCATCCACGTAAGCTCCTATTATTTTATAATTTATTGAATAATATTGTTTTCGTATAAATTATGTATTCTTTAAAGAAATCTTATTAAGCAATTCACTTTGTTGAGCTATTCAAAGGATGTTTATGACTAAGCACGGAATCCATTTAATGCATAGGTATATATTAGCAAGGGATGGTTACTTTAAACCTAAAAATAATTTATTTTTATATAATACAAAAAAGCCTTGACTCTTGATATAGTTTAGGGATTTTATGCAAAATTATTATATTTGTAAATGGAAATTACATATTTAGTTTAGTATCATTAACAATTGTAATTTCAACATGTTTTAATTAAAAAATGATAACATAACAATATGCCAAAAGAATAAATTTTATAATCCATAATTTAACCGAGTGAGACGTAGTTCAATGTATCTTACCAATAAAATTGACTTATGCAAATAAAAAGTTTTTGTTTATTAAAAAATTATTTTGGAAACTAAAACAATATAAAATTAATAATTTATTACAAAAGAATATGTGCCTGGAATTTTAGGATTTATTTGTTAACTTAAAATTTAACGTAAGAAATATTTCAAAAATAATCATTATATGTTTTTGGCCAACAAACCTTGGGAAATTGATTTTTAAAAAAATAATTGATTGATCGATTGAAGAACGGAAGATTGAAGTACAATTAAATTAAAATGCAATCAAATTAAAATTAGAACTTTTCATACGAACGCATGTCACATCGGTGAGGGAATAGTAGCCCATCACAAAATGAATCTAATTTTAAGACGAAGAAATAAATATTTCAATTTATTAAAAAAAGAAAAGAATAACAGAAGAAGACAAAGGTGGGCCCAGCGAATGATAGAAGGGGGTAAAGGCTAAGTCGGAGCTGACTAGGAGTGGGACCCACAAGAGAAGGAGAAAACGACAAATAGCATCAATAGGGTGTGGCGTGGGACCCGCCTGATGCATGGCCTCGCTGGCGCTACTATTCAGCCGTCCTTCTCTGTCTGCCCGCGGGTTGCGGTCAGCCCTGCTCTCTTTCCTGCCCGTTACAATTCCGCTGCCCGTTCCAAAACCATACGTTGCATCTAATCATTACACGTGCCACCCCCATCTTCCCGTTCCCCACACCTGCTTTCCTTAATTTTTTACCTAGGACTTGTCCTCCCCCTCCTTCTATTTAAAAGGAGAGAAATTAGTGGCATAAAATTATATGCAGAGATTTTTGGTAATTACTCTCCTGGTTCTTTTCATAAGAAACAATAAAATGCTAGTTGAAATTAATTGAAAACAATAAATATATAAAAATATAAATTTTTTTTGCTAAGCTTTTATATGGAGGAAAGATAATATGTGAAAAATTGAAAATGAAATACTTTTAGGACTAAAGGAATGTGATGATACAAGTAATGAGTAACTAAATGGAATAAAATGAAAAGCTAATTTGCAAATAACAAAAAATTTTACTTTGAAAACATAATTTGCAAATAACAAAAAGTACGCATTATTGTTAAAATATGTGTCCTTGTTGTATGAACAACGTTAAAATATTTGTCCAAGACTTTGATTTGATTAGGCTAATAAGTCAATTTTATCAATCATGGGAAAAAAACAAGTGTTTTGATTTCACACTCATACGTAATTTAACGCATTTCTATTAAAGAAAAATGACAATCTTAACCATTTCATTATCCCAATGAAAAAAAAAAAACAAGGTGACTACTTTTTTTTTAAAATGACAAAAAATACTTACTAAATTTTAAATTGATATATAAGAGATTTTAATAGATTTTAACATGTCAAAACCATTATAAAAATAGTTAGCATGACCTATTTATCTTTTTAAAATTTAACTGGTATTTTTCTGTCATTTTTTAACTTTTTTTTAATTTTTCCCAAAATTTTTAGTTAAAAAAATTCGATACACTGTATTCCAAAAAATGTAAATTTTTTAGTACATATAATAGAAGAAAAAAAGAAATAAATATTGTAGTTATGGATATACGCTGATGCAAATAAATATTTGCAATGCTTATCATGAATATAAAAGTTCCATCACATGCATTTTAGATAGTGGAAACATTTATAAAGTGATGTTGGATGTGGAAATTGTTGTGTGTATTGTCTTTTGTCAATTGGTTAGAAGTAACATCAAACAACTAGGTCAATTATTACTAATTGCACTTTTTACTCTTTTTTTTTTTTTGTGAAAAGTGTTATATCAATTAAAAATGAGAAAATTGGTAAAAAATGTGTGGTACTCATGGATGATATGTTGCACTCACGGATCATACTTTTATTTGCACAATTTCAGGTCCTTCTGGACCAATTAAAATTTCAAACAAGAATTTTTTACTAATTTTTCCATTAAAAAATTGTGCCATGATAATTCAAAAAAATTAATTTTCCTTCTTTTCCTCCCTCAATCCTATCCTATCCTAATCCTTCCTTCTTGTAGTGAGGGATGAATTTATAAAATAAATAAATAAATAAATAAAAATAATATCAACCTATATAACAAGATAGAAATAATATCCACCCGTATATAATATAAAATTTATTAAAAATTCTTTTACTTTTAGTAAGTACTACTCTTGGTCCTAATTATAAGAGCTAATTGATTGATTTGAAGAGATTAAGAAAATAAGTTAAGTTAGTTATTTGTAATAACTAAGTGTTGTCTTTTGTAAAATATCCTTGCTAATCAAGTGTATTTGCTAGAACTACCATTATTAGAAGGACTATCTTGAAAAAAAATATAAATATGAGAGACAAAGTGCATTAGGTTCTTATATTTAGAACCAAAATAAAAGTCAAATAAGGTCTTCTATTAAAGACCGGAGGTAGTATAAATTTTGAAACTTAAGTCTCTCAAAACATTGTGATTTGGCTCAAATTCATGTGAAGCATGAATTCATGAATTCTAAAATATATGATTATATATAATATTAGAATTCTAAAACTTAGAAACAAATTATTTTCACATATCATAAATATTGCGACTTAGAAACAAATTATTTTCACATATCATAAATATTGCGATCAAAAACACATAATTGGAGATGTGTTGGCTCACACATGCCATTACTAGAAGAGTCCATACACGTGGGCCTTCAGGCCCAATAGCAACTGCTATTTTCCTCTGTGTTTTTTATTTTTTTAATATTTATTGTCCTTTTCAAAAGTTTTGTTTTTTTCGTTCGCTTGGAATATATGCTTGCAGCAACCACCCTAACGAATATGACACCTTCAAGTATGGTCTAATAAGAATAATTTTATTTTTTAAAATAAAATTAAAAAATAAAAAATATATATGAGCCAAAAATAATCATTGAGTAGTAAAAGGAGATAAAGATGTAATAAAAAAGAGAAAAAAGAAATAATAAGAACGAACTGACCTATTAATGAAGGAAGAGATAGAGGGTCCACAAGATTGAAGTAGTTGTTGAAGGAAGAGCAGCAAAAGCAAACAACGTTGTGGAGGTAGGTCCAATTCCAAATGGTCCAGACTGGTTTGGTTGCAACTTGCAAAATTTATGGGGGAAATGACTTTTCAGTCCCAAAACTTTTAATAATAGTTAGGTTTCACATAACTTTTCTATTGACCAAAAAAAAAAAGTGGAGTTTCAAATGCCGATTCCAAAAGGTATATCAGTTACTAATTGAGAATTGCACTAGCAACTTAAAACACCTTATATTTAATTGATACTTCTAAATTTACAATTTTTTAAAAAATCAATATTTGCAATGTTTTTGTCTCTTTCAGTGCTATTATAAGCTTTAAATTGAATCTATCTCAACATTTAATACGTTTTTGTTTAAAAATTTTGCCACTTCTCTCATTATATTTCCTTTCATCTTTTTTCCTAATTCTTTTATCACTCTCACTTGTCCTTATAAATAAGGACACATTTTAAAACATATACACTTGTTTTACTTATTTATAGTTTAAAAAAATTAAACTGCATAAATTTTATCCAAATTTTGTATTTTTTTCTAAAATCCTGTAAAGGTTGGAGGCTCCTCAGGTATGTTTTGAACTCTACACCCTAGGGATCAAAATCCGGGATAGTAGATCACCTAACGCCAAGTTAGAAATCTTATGATTGTCTTATTCAATATAATATTTATATCCCTTTCATATCTTGCTTTTACCTCCAGCCAAAAGGAAAAAATTACATCACATTTTTGTCATTTTCCTTTTCCCCCGCCTTAGAAACTGCTCAGATTTCTTAACTAATTCAGGTAAAAATCTTCAGCACGAGTGCAAAAATAGGATAGTAGCTACTGTAGCATACTTGGACTGATAAAGATTTAAGCTAGCAGAATCAAAAACAAAATCCCCAGTGATTCACATAGTGGTCCATGTGCACAATACACACCCATAAGAAGCATGGATCCACAAGAAAAAAAGTAATTATGGGCACAATTAATTGTGAAATTAGAATGTTCAAAAAGTGGGGAATTTTAGGGGCAGCTTCACCCATCTCTAATTACAAAAAGCAAAATCCTCTTTGAGAGGGGTCTCTTATTTCCTTGTAAAGAACGGAAATTAAGCTTTCGTTTCGAGCTTCAAGCTCCAAGCTCTTGCACAACTTCCTTGAGCTAGATAGGATCTATTGAAAGATTATTTTCACCAAATTCCACTTTCAACATGGTAATACAAGATTCAAATGTTCATCAGCGACTTCTTGATACACAAACAAAAAATCAAGGACAAACGACGGAGGTGAGAATAACCTATTCTGCAGAAAAACCCCACAGAACTCAGCCTGAAAAGGCTGCATTAAGTGCACTATGGACATCAATCCCAATCTGAGCTTCGGCTTTCTCCAAATCAGTCGTGGCAGAGCTCAGCTTCTGAGTGAATTCCTGGAGACCCTTTTGGACTAGGCTGCCGTCAATTTGATCAACTGGCACTGCCTCAACAGCTATTATGTCAGCAACAGAGTTTGCATGGACGAAAGCAAATCCGCTACTCACAAAGTACTTGGTTACGTCATTCCCTTCATGCACAGAAAGAACCCCAGGTTTCAACTCTGCAATTGTAGCTACATGTCCAGGAAGAACACCCATTTGTCCAGTTGTTGCTGGTACTATGACCATGTCAACCTGTTAACAGGAAAATTAGGCATAAGCTATATCATGTTTCAAAGGAAGACTCACACCAACAATCTACATAACTTCAGTGTAATTAACTTCTTGGAGGAATTGCCTACATACATTAATCAACATTCTTTCATGGCAGCAAAATAGTTTATTTGAACTGCAAATTTATAGGTTTATATGCCTTCACCTCAGGATAAAAAGACCAATCTAATACTAGAAGAATTGAAGCATACATCTACACTAAAAACCAATCCTCCATTCCAGGCCTTTTCTTTATTTTACATTACGTCTGTAAGGGCAAATATTCTTCACAGCAATGCAATATCTGTGGTTTCCATTGAACAGTTAACACATTAGTTCAAACGGAAAACTAGGTGCAAAGTCTCCAATAATATAGAACTACGTGTCTTCACTATTTTTATCAAGTACAAGCAGTTGCGATTTCAACATCTCCTAGTTAGTTAATTTGGGGCGCCGGCAGCAGATTTTGAAGAATTCAGGTCAGTCATGCAAAACCAATCACAGCTCTCAAGCCCGGTTTGGAACATACTTAATAATGGGGAACCCTCTCAAAACCTCCATGATCAAAAGGGTGCTTGAATATCTGTTAAGTAGCATTTAGGTAATTTTGTCATTGTTTTACTTTTGTGCATATCAAGCCTCGTCCTGTTCCTCAACTAGGATTTCTATAATTTCAGTTTTAGAGCTTTTAATTTTTATGTGTTTCTTATTTAGTTACGTAGCTTGAATGCTTGATTTCTTCCAGGATCAGGACAGCAGCACCTGCCACTGAATGAGAAGTTATAGGAACTAAGATTGTCAGCTAGAAGAATTTTCGGTTAAAAAAAAAAAGTGTCAACTTGCATTTATAATCTGAACAGTTTACTGACCAATTTTGCAAGTCCAAGAAACAAACGAAATTTGGCTTCTTTTATCTTTCATAATCTATTTTTGAATCTACAATCTGATTTTGGCACAAAGTTTATCCACCAATTAGTCAAATGCTGCATTTGTCTTTACAGCAACCAGTCAAAACTCAGAACGAATCAACCCTTGAGGATGCAGATCCACAGCAATAATTATTTTGACCCACTCATATTTGAAGATCTTTGTTATGGTTATTTATTAAGAATTTTCCTTTTATTATACAATACTCTTCAGTAGTTACTTGTCTTTGGATATTGGTTAACATAGTATGACATGTATCTTTCCTTTCCCTTTTTTTTTTTTTTTCAAATTTCACACATTTTATGATTCATTTTAAGTTTTCTAATCATTTGTGTGTGCATGCGTGTGGATTAAAAGCCATATTTATCAAGGTCAATTGCTTATTAACAGTTGAACATCCTCTCACAAGATTACTTGAAGTCATGAATTAAATAACAATGATAGTCGATAGGCCCATCTAAACTATTAAAGTAATTTCTTTCAGACCCTATTCAGTTTCATCAAGCGTTTCCATCCAATAACATCCATATGGTTGAGTAGTGTTATCAAACACTAGGCACGATGCCTAGGCTTACGTTCCTCCTTCTCAGCTACAATTATGTTTACTTGGACAAGGATGGATAAAAAATTCTTCCAACTAAACCAAAAGGACCCTCTCAACTCTTGCCCCATCAGTTCCAAGAGAGAAAGAATAAGACAAACTGCACAAGGCCCACTCACTCTTCCTCTCTTATAACTGAGGAGATTGACAGGTTGAATAGGAGAGGATCTTTTCTTCCTTGCGTAATGACCTTGCAACTCATCTCCTTACTTTAATAAAATTAAAATCTGATAGTTATAAAGCCAGGATTCATTTTCTTACAAACCAATACTATGCCCCGAGGATTGTAAATGTTCATTATGGGTATTGCTAGACTCATGCAGGATTGATAAATATATTAATTATTTAATAACATAGAGTAGATTTCCACAAAAGGCGATGGGGCAGGTTGCTCGGTTGATCATAAACTAGAGGAGGGAACAGGTATATCACATATCGCATTACATCATAAAACCAACAACTAGGTCATACATGATCCAGGATCTTAACTAGTTAATTCAATGTCGAAAGAATAACACAGTCAGTAATGAATATAGAAGTTAAACATAATCCACATAGCCTATCAAAAGCTCCTCATGTAAACAGAGGATCAAGAGGAAATGATAATTCTTTATTAAACAATGGCTAATGCACATGAAAATTGGGAAGAAAACTTGAAAGCCTAAGGTTTCAATACTCAAACAAGGAAACCTTTTCCGTTATGCCTATCAGCTGCTCTCTATATCCCAGCTAAAATCAGTACTTAGTCATGAGTTTTGACCTCTGAATTGACATTAAAAGGGGCAGGTGATAATGGGGGAAAAAACAAGAAAAATACGGAAAATATTCAGATTCTTTGAAACGTACATGAACTCTTGAGATTAATTGCTTACCAAAAAAAAGAAATACTGCCATTACAGGCATCACAATGACTAGTCACTAGACAATTTTGGTAGACCGGAGTACAGAGAGGTAAAAAATAGATGAAATTCAAATAATCTAGAAACCCATCCTTCACCATACCATTATAAATTCGGTGCAAACTTCAAAGAACCGTACTTGTCATTGAAAATGGAAAAGTTCGTTAATTGTCTCTTGTTTCTTGAAAGGTGCAGGATAAGTTGAAACCAATAAAGAACTACTTGGCAACAGACCTGTGGAAATAGGGGGCAAAAACACAAATATGCTTGAAAACAAATGCGCTTTGTACAAGTGACCAAGGTAATTTGGGAAGCCTATTGATCAAACTGCCCAGTGAACAAGACAACCTATGCTTGAAAAGTAGCAAGTGGAATGAAAAAAAAAAAGGACGCTGGTGGTTAGCAGGTACGACAATGAGGTGATAATTTAACGAGAGAGAAAAAGCGAAAGAATGCTTCAATCTTGCATTAAAGCACCAATCAACTGTTAAAAACATACAGTAAATGTTGATATAGTTTTCATTTTAAAATTGAACAGGAGTGCGGGAAATTTTTTTTTTTTTTTAAAAAAACCAACAAAAAGGAAGAAAAGAGAAGCTTAATTGCTTATGCTTTCCTGACCGATACTCAACCATATTGCTAGCCTTATGGATACAATCATTTTGGGTGACCTGAGACCAAACTCCCATCACCCTTAAAATCGAACGGCATTCGCTAATCTTTGGCCCAAAAAGAAGGGGACATTCATAAATCCAGATTTTGTTACTCACAATTTTCGACAACCCAAACCTGAATAGCATGTTTTCATCAATGTAGGCCAGAGAACAGGAGGGGTAATCTAGGGTTAGTCCTAGTTCCAAATTAATCGTTTTCAGGTGTAAAAGACGCTAAACATAAAAAACCAAAGAGCAATCTTGATTATAAAAACACAAAACAAAAACTAAATCAAATCAGAATCAACCAAAGCCAACCTCTTTCGCGGACAATTCCGAAGAGTAAGGAAGCACGAAATTGACAGTGAGCTTGGATGGGATCGAGGAGGGAGTAGGAGGGCGAGGAGTCATGAACGCAAGAGGAGTCTTGGGTGGTTCCATGTTAGGAGCGACCTTCTTCCATGCTTCAACGAACTGGGAATCAGCAGCGGGAGTGGCGGGGAGATCCGTTGAGAAACGGCGGGACCTGGCATTGAGAAGGGGGCGACCCAGCAAAGTAGTGGCACGGCGGAACATGATGTGAAATCGGATCGCTCGGGTCTCGCAGAGTCGGAGAGAGAGAAAGAAAGCGATCGGCTGGAGAAGAAGAGAGAAGAAGGTTTTGAGTTTGGACGGTGAAATTGGATGTTTGGTCCTTCCGAGGTAATGGTAGATACCGTACTCCACTCGCTGGATCTCTGTATAACCACAAATCAGGGTTCACCATTATGGGCCTTTAGCCCAAACAAATTTTTAGACAACGTATTTTTGGCGGCTCATTTTATTTGAAAATGTTAAAATTATGTTGGTGCTCCCCCCCCCAAAAAAAAAAGTTAGGAGATTCATTTTTTTAATATTATTCGCAGCCTGTTTCAATTGGTATATAATAAGTTTAATATTATTTAATATTATTTAACATTTTCATTTTTTTGAAAATGTTTAAAAGATGAAAGTTGTTATTCTTACGCACACATACACAAGCATATCCATATCCATACATACATATGTGTATATATTCTTATTCTTATTTTTTTTTAAAAAAAAGGTTACATTATATGAAATGATGAGTTCTTATGAAATTGGTAAATCACCCATTTGTTTTCTATCTTGATAAACCATTTCTATGTGCACGAGGCGCACATAGACTAAGCACCAACAATAAACCACTTCTAAAATTGCTCGCACTGTTGATGGTCTGAAGGGTCAGAGTTTATTTTTCAGAGCAAGACAAAAAAATTATTCACATGATGGCTAACTTCATCTTTGACACATGGGACCCACCATTATACATCTACCAAGATAAAACTATACTACATCCCGTCCTTAATATAAGAGTTAATTGACTAATCTAAATAAGTTAAAGAAGTTTGTTAAATTAGTTATTTGTAATAATTAGGTGTTGTTTTTTTTTAAAATACCATTGCTAATCATGTGAGTTAGCTAAAACTACCATTTGATTGAACTTTTAACATGTGCAATTACTACAATGATTACTTTAAAAAAAATGAATAAATATGAAAGACAAAGTAGATTGGGATCTTATATTTAAGACCAAATTGAAAGTCAAACTAAATCTTATACTACCTCCAATTCTAAATATAAGAGCTAGTTGACTACTTTAAGTAAATTAAAAAAATTAGTTAAGTTAGTTATTTGTGGTAAATAGGTGTCGTCTTTTAAAATAATCCTTACTAATCAAGTTTATTAACTAAAATTACCATTAGTACAAACATTACCTTGAAAAAATAGATAAATACAATAGAAAAAATAAATTAGAGTCTTATATTTATGACCAAAATAAAAGTCAAACAAGATCTTATATTAAGAATCCAAAGTAGTATTTTATTAGAGAGTTGTAAAACTAGCCTTTACATAATCTTAAAGGCTGGAAGAATGGATTTGTTTGGATTAACTTTGGTCAAAGTAATTTTTACTTTAACTAATTTTTATAAACCGAAATCAAAGTAAAAGTTAATTAGCATAATACTACTACTCCTCATATCCTTAATATAAGACCCATTTAACTAATTTGACTAGATTAAGGAAGTTAGGTAAGTTAGTTAATTATAAAAAATATAACACATTTTTCTAAAATACCATAATCATATTTCTTAATATCCCATCTTCCGCTTCTATTTGCTTATGGTTGAGGGAGTATCTATAAGAGTAATTTAAAGAAAATTGATAAATATGATAGATAGGTCTTATATTTAGGACTAAAACTAACTCAATAATTGGGTCCTATATTAAAGACCAGAAGAGTATAATTTATACTTATATTAAGTTTTACAACTTAATATAGAAGATATATTTAAAAGTGAGTTTCAGAAAATTTAAATATAAAATAAAAGCCAAAAGTCAAGTTAAAAGCAAGAAAATGTTGCTTTAACTGAATGAAAGTATTAATACTAAAAGTACTAATAATATTATCTCTCTTTCGTTGCCAATGATTAAAGTTCATTTTAAAGATAAGAGATATTTAAATATATATAGTTGATGGAGCCTCTAGTATAAAATTGGCAGCAAATTATTACTCCCTTCAATCCTATATATAAGTGAGAAACAATTGAACTATGTAGATAAAAAAAATTGGTTAAAGATAACAAATGTATAAAAAATATTTTTCCCTCAAATACACCCTCATTTATGAAGAGAGTAAATGAGAGAAAGAATGATATAAGGGAGAATAAGTGGGAAATAAGAGAGATATGTAACTGATTGAAATAAAAATAAAAAATAAATATACTCATTCGGTCTTTAATATAAGATCCATTTAACTAATTCGATTAGATTAAGAAAGTTAAGTAAGTTAGTTAATTATAATAAATGTGACACGTTTTTCCTAAAACATCATAATCATCTTTTTAATACCCCATCTCCTTCTTCTACTTGATTATGGTTGAGGGAGTATCCATAAGGATAATTTAGAGAAAATTAATAAATATGAGAAATGGGTCTTATATTTAGAACTAAAACTAACTCAATAATTGGGTTCTATATTAAGGACCGGAGGAGTAATTTTTAAACAAGTACAAAGTATGGCTTAAAAAATGCAGTCCCTATTCCGTAAATTGTAACTTTATTAGTGACTTTCCTTTGAAATGCATGTAATGATAATAAGTTAATCACTCGACATCAACAAAAGGAACAGCCAAAAAAAAAATAATACTATGTGGGTGTGATTACACAAACAGTCATGATTTGAATCTCTTTAATAAATAATTTTGAAATTACATATCAATATTGTGACTAACAATAATTATTCTAATCATCGATCATCTGGTAACAGATAAAAGCGATTGGTTTAAATGATATTTTGACCTTTTACATAGATGAGAAGCATCTGTTTTTTAGAATTTATTTGTAATTTTGGGGACTTGATCGATACTAATTTTCTTACAGGAAACTACCACCTTCAGTTCTTTCTTAATATAAGATTAATTATTTGAAGAGGTTAAAGAAGTTATTAAATATGGACGTAAATATGTTGGAAGAAACCGACAAAAATGAATTTATTCTTCGATCTCTTTCAATTTAAGATAAAGCTGAATATTATATATTCATTATATATTCTAATCACCAATGATATGATTCGAGGGAATTAATTAAAAGAATATAGCTCTTCATACTATTTTTGGGGCCAACATATAACACAATGTCATTTCTATTACACCAACACGTATTAGTCCTAATAAAAGAGATTTTCATTGCTTAAATACGGGGTTTTAGGTTTTTGAGTTTGTGAGAATGTAGAAAAGACCTCAGAGAAAGCTACTCCCTATTGATTTTGACAATGCTTAAATATGATCTAATCGATGGCCACATAAAAGCAATAATTAAGTCTTCCAAGATTACAAGTAAGCTTAAAAAAAAAAAAAGGCAATATAATATTAAAAAAATTTAATATATAAAACACAAAGAGGTATTCCCAATTTTCCACACATACTCATGCATACTCACCAATGTCGGCTAAACGCTTGCTAATTTTCCTTTTTGGAGTGTTATTATTTCTCACCACTTCTTGTTTTGCAGATTATTATGGTTATGATGAGCTTAATTCAACTGAAAACCAAATAATAATGGCGAAGCCAGTGGAAGAAGCAGCAAGTAATTACAGGCTACCCAATTTAAAAGCACCCCTTCCAAGTCGACCGTTTAATTGGCCACGAGATTTCCCACCAAAAAAAAGAAAACCTTCATCGGATAAACGGCGACAACATCGTACGAAGAATAAACCTCGTGGTACTACCAAACCTCATCATGGAGGTCGGGGTGCTAATAATAACAAGAAGAAGAAGCCACGTGGGATGGTCACTACCCAATATCCTTTGGTTTGATTTGAAGTATGTTTTGGCAATACTACTGTAATATCATGAGGGACTGCAATTACTAATTAATCCCTACAATAAATGCTGATCTTTAATATTTGCTCAGTTTTTTTTCATTATTTATGTTGACCTTCTGATGACTTAGTATGTATGACTATGTGATTGCGTATTGGGTCGTTATTAAAACACAAGCAAGTTTTGATTCATACAGTTGGCCTCATATGGCTAGCTAGGCATGTTCTATTCTCCCAGTTGTGACAATGATATATAATAAGTTTGTGTATTTTGGCCTATGCTTCCCTTGGCATTTATAAGTATATTTTGTTAGCTATTCTTATATGTAAGCTATCTTCGGTTCAAAATATAAGTTACTTCCAACCATCTTATTAGAACTAAGAAAAAATAGTTAACTCATTAAATTTGTTGTAAAAAATTTTAACTTGATCTTTATCAAATGAGGTTTTGAAAGTATTGATTACGGAGCAAAATTAACAAATAATTATTAATTATTTTTTGAAATGACTTATATTGTATGCCAAAAAAATCTTATAGAATGTGACTTGTATTTTAAACTGAAAAGAGTATTTATGATTAGCATTGTAATTAGTATTTTGACATTCATTTGCTACAGAATGAGTTATTTAAAATATAATGCGCATTGTTAATCTAAAATTAAAAAGTATGACCACAATTCGTCAATTAATGACATGAAGCGTATATAGATACACACATGTATGTTTTTTAAAAGCTTTTGGTCTATAGTACTCACTTTGATCTTGTCCCTTTGATATTGGTGGGTTTTGTCAGTGATGAGGAGCTCATACAGTTTTTGGTGGTAACTGAAATGCTAAATTATACATATTTTTCACAGTAAACTAAAACTGAATAAAAAGAGTTGACGAAGTTTAATCCAGTTGATAAGAAGTTGGCTCATAACTTTTAAAGTTGAGTTTAAGTCTAATTGTCAAATCTTTACAAGTGTACGAAAATATATAGAATCAAATTCTTTTAGTTTGGGTATTTGGTTTGTCTAGTTTTTGAGTCTACTTGTAACCCTTTTTTTATTGCAAGCTATACATTAATGTCAATCCAAAACAAAAAAAAAATAATTATAATATGTAGAACATTTTTTTAACTTATAAAAAAAACATTTTTAACCTCTTTTCTTTTTGAAAAAATTATAATTGTTGGACTTGAATTTGAGCGGGGTGCACAAACTAATAAAAGAGACAGGCAGACACCTTTTTTACCATTGGAATAATATCCTCATCTTTAAAACCAATCCCCGTTCATTGCTTAGCTTTCTGCCTGAATTACTCAACCCCTCCGCACA